CAGGCTCAGCACCCTCAGCAGCACCAGAGTCACCAGTAACCTCGACAGGCTCGACAGTGTCTACCTGGGACACACCTGAAGGGGCAGGACCTTGAGGGGGGAGGGGGTCTACCGGGGGGGGACCTGGTACAAGGAAGAGCGGTGGCGGGGGGAGGGACGGAGTGCGGTAGGGGAAGAGGCGGTAGTAGGGGACCGACTCGTCAAACGTGACGTCCTGGGAGGACAGAACACGGCGAGAGGTGGGGTGGTAGAACTGCCACCCTGGCGCGTCAGGGGGGAAGCCAAGGAAGACGCAAGGAGCAGCACGAGGGGACAGCTTGTCCGCAGACAAGTCGCGGACAAACGCCCGAGATCCCCAGACACGGAACGCAGACGCATCGCCAACCTTCCCCGTCCACAGCAAGGCTGGGGAGGTCTCCGGCATGGAGACCCTGGGGTGAAGGTTGATCTGATGCGCCGCGTACCGAACCGCAAACGGCCACAGAAAATGGGGGGCAGCCGCATGCATCATGGACGTACGGGCGACGTCCATGACCATGCCAATGCGGCGCTCAGCAATCCCATTTTGCTGTGGAGAGTCCGGAAGCGTGAAGGTCTGGCGGATGCCTCGTGCACGACAGTAGGCTCGCAGAAGGCCAGAGGAGAACTCTCCACCTCTGTCAGAGTGCAGACGCAGAACAGGAAAGTCCGAGCCGAAGCTCTGCCTGAGCTGGAGACGAGCTGCGCGGATCCAGTCGATCAACACCTCAGTGACATCACCCTTGCTGCGCAAGGGGAAGACTGTGGTGTAACGCGAGTAGTCGTCAACCACCAGCAGGAAGTAGCGCTCGTGACCCTGTCCACGGACGCGGGCCGGGCCCCACACGTCCATGTGAAGCGTCTGCAGCGGGGCCTCTGTCGGAGGAAACTGGGAGGAGTGAGGGGCAGCCCGCTGCCGCCCCTCGACACAGGGGACGCAGGTAGGGCCAGGCCCCGGAGGAAGGGGAGGGAGGGACCGGGGAAGACCAGAGACAAGGACACGGGAGGCCATGCCTCGGAGACGAAGCAGGGAGGGGTGACCAAGGCGGTGGTGCCAGAGGAGAGTCTCGTGAGACAGGAGGCGACACGAACAGGGGGCAGACTCAGGACCAGACCTGGACGCTGCAGCAAACACCTAACCCGACGCAGCTACCTGACCAGACGCAGTGACTGGAGGAGACGCAGTGGTCAGTGTGTACAGGCTCGACCCCGGCCGACGTGTAAACGTGGCCAGGTGTCGGCCTGTCCGAGCGTCCGTGCAGTGGGTCACCCGCTGACTCGCAGGAGTGAACTGGTGAACCCCCGCATCCTGTAGGTCAGCACCACTCACCAAGTTCGTAGAGAACGAGGGGAGGTAAAGACCAGACAGGGTGCCAGAGGGGGCCGCCGGACACGGGAGGACAGTGGAGAAGTGAGCAAGGACAGGACCCCCAGAGGGGTCTGCCAGGGAGACCGCAACCGGCCGACTGAGCGGCGTAAGCGTGGTGCGGTCTCGAAAGAAGGAGCGGGAAGCACCCGAGTCAAGAGTGAAGGTGTGTAAGGCCTGAGACGACGTGGTACCTGAGAGAGCAGACTCACCAGCACCTGGGGCAGCAGACGCACTAGCACCTAGAGCAGCAGCCTCACCAGCACCTAGAGCAGCAGCCTCAATGCCCGGGTCAGGCGGAACACACAGGTAACAGTCACCCTCATCACTAGTAGGCAATGCATACATGGCAGTGAGGATAGCATCATAGTCAAGAGTATAGATATCTACCCGCAGCCGAAGCAGCTCCACCCAGTCGGGGAGCTCAGCCGCGTCGCCAAACTCCGTACGCCAGGCGTCGCTCAGACGGGCGAAGCAGCGGGACTCTGCGTGACCCAACGTCCCGCAAGGCTGACCAGTCCGAGCACCAGTGCGAATGACGTACGGACAGCGAGCAGTACCCCGTGACCCGTCACGCTGAGCGTACCACTCACGAAGCTGCTGGGGCGAAAGGACTGCTCGCGGACGACGCTGAAGCTGCACCTGGCCACTACAAGCAGCTGCCGAACTACTCACTCCAGGACGACTCCCACGACGGCCACCCCGACAACCCCAACTAGCGTACCACTCACGAAGCTGTTGGGGGGTGAGGGACTCACGCGGGCGACGCTGCAGCTGCACCTGGCCACTACAAGCAGCTGTGGAACTACTCACTCCAGGACGACTCCCACTACGGCCACCCCGACAACCCCAACCAGCGTACCACGCACGAAGCTGTTGGGGGGTGAAGGACTCACGCGGGCGACGCTGGAGCTGCATCTGGCCACGCCAGGAGCAGCAGTAGCAGTAGAAAGAGCAGCAGCAGTAAGAGCAGCAGTAACAGCAGTACGGGCAGGGCAGTGCTCACCAGTGGCGAGAAGGGCAGGCGTACGACGGCGGCAACGGCGAGGCCGCTACCACTGTAGAGCGAGAGCTCCGCGGCAGCTGCAGGGGTGGCTGCTCCAGGGGCGGCAGTTGTAGGGGCGACTACTCCAGAGGCGGCTGCTCCAGGGGCGGCTGCTGCAGTGGCGGCTGCTCCGGGGGCGGCTGCTGCAGTGGCGGCTGCTCCGGGGGCGGCTGCTGCAGTGGCGGCTGCTCCAGGGGCGGCTGCTGCAGTGGCGGCTGCTCCAGGGGCGGCTGCTGCAGTGGCGGCTGCTCCAGGGGCGGCTCGGCTGCTGGGCGACTCGGCGGCTCAGCTGCTGGGCGGCTCGGCGGCTCGGCTGCTCGCTAGGGGCGGCGACGGGGCCGGGTAGGGGCAGCGACGGGGCCGCTAGGGGCGGGGAGCGGCGACGGGGCCACTAGGGGCGGCGACGGGGCCGCGTAGGGGCGGCTACGAGGCCGCGTAGGGGCGGCGACGGGGCCGCGTAGGGGCGGCTACGAGGCCGCGTAGGGGCGGCGACGGGGCCGCGTAGGGAGGGAGGCGGCGACGGGGCCGCTAGGGGCGGCGACGGGGCCGCTAGGGGCGGCGACGGGGCCGCGTAGGGGCGGCGACAGGGCCGCGTAGGGAGGGAGGAGGCGACGGGGCCGTTAGGGGCGGCGACGGGGCCGCGTAGGGGCGGCGACGGGGCCGCGTAGGGGCGGCGACGGGGCCGCGTAGGGAGGGGAGCGGCGACGGGGCCGCTAGGGGCGGCGACGGGGCCGCGTAAGGGCGGCGACTGGGCCGCGTAGGGGCGGCTACGGGGCCGCGTAGGGAGGGGAGCGGCGACGGGGCCGCTAGGGGCGGCGACGGGGCCGCTAGGGACGGCAACGGGGCCGCGTAGGGGCGGCGACGGGGCCGCGTAGTGAGGGAGGCAGCAACGGGGCCGCTAAGGGCGGCGACAGGGCCGCTAGGGGCGGCTACGGGGCCGCATAGGGGCGGCAATGGGGCCGCTAGGGGCCGCAAGGGGCCTGGAAGGGCGGCAACGGGGCCGCTAGGGGCGGCGACGGGGCCGCTAAGGGTGGCGCGAGGGGCCGTGAGAGGGGCCTCTAAGAGAGCTCGACAGAAGGGCGGCCCACAAGGCGCGCCTCGGGCAGGAGCGACTGTCGCTCCGGTCAGAAAAAAAAGGTTTCAGTGGTGGGCCCAAGGAAGCGTTCCCACTAGGGAACCTGCTCTATACCATGTGAAGAAATGAGGAATGAATTGACTAAGGGAAAGTTGGGTACAAAAGCAAACCCTAGAAAACTGTACCCCATATGTGCTACCCCACTATAGCCTACAGTAGCTATGTCATATAAATCTGACATTGCCCGCGCGCTCATTGGCCGCGCATTGGGCCGAAAATGACCGCGCATCTACTGTTGTGCGAACGAGGAATTTCGTGGGTACGAACCCTTGTAGGGTTATGTGCCAGGGAAAAAAAACACCTCGAAAATGCCCTGGCATGGCCACTCGAGCAATTATCACGGAATTGGATGGCCACTCGAGCAATTGGGGGACACGTGGGCAAGAGCGAATCACCAAACAAGGCACTGGAGCAATTCTCTCTGATTGACAGCCGCAGTCAGCATTGCGGAAGCAGTAACGGGCACGTGAAATTCGTTGAGTTTCATCCAAGCTTGTACACCAAGGTTGTTACAGCTGTCGCTCGTGGGTGACGAGGAAGCAAGCAAGCTGTTGAGGGGCCATCGCCATTTCGCGCATCTGAGTCAGCCGAAAGCTGAGCTTGTCGTCAACGCTTGAAACTTCGCTGAATTTCCCAGCCAGGATTGCCATCCTTCCAGGCAAGCAGAAAAGCTGTTTTGACGAACATTATTCGCCAGCCAATCACGATCGGCTCAAGGAGATGATCCCGCGAGTCGCACGCACATGGGCGTCCGCTGGGACCACTCGACCTCCCCCAACTTCACACCCATTCAACAGAATGATTGCCGTTTCTGAAACTGACGAGACCCCTGCCCGTTTTTGTTGGAGAAAGCGGAACGTAATTAACACGCACGACGCACTTCTATTCGTCAATCCGCGCCGTGGTGAACATTCAAAAGTTTTCCTGGTCATAATTTCCTTCCCGTGCCAGCTTCAGCCAACCACCGACCGACGTTGCCTCGCCCATACGCCTCTCTCTTCCGCGTCCTGCCCTTTCTTCCGCGCCCCGTTCACAAATCCGCGCCCCGCTTGATCTCCTTGGCGCAATGCTCTTGGTCCCAAAAAAAGCTCAAGAATCAGACGAATTCTTCCCGGTTGCCATTCCTTTCTGGCCCCCGTCAGTCCCTCACTGTCCCTCAAGCTCATCAAGATCGCGAATCACCACTGTGGGGCTCCAATTATACATCTGCAGTCCCCACCACACTCAAGCTCTGGGTACCCGCTCTCAACAACAAGCTCTCACGAGCACCTATCTTCTATATCTCTCCCTCGTTTTCATTCAGGGACCATTCCAAACCTCAATTCCACATTGTTTCAGCCAACTCTCAGAGGTTCAAAGCGTCGTGCAGCCGAGTCGCATCATTCAGACCGAGAGACGTCGCGAAGCGGACACATTGCACCAGCAAAGAATACGTCATGGCTCCCCGATCACAGCTCGGCATGCGCACGCTCCTCGGTCTCCTCTCCGTCGCCGTTCCGATTCTCGTCGCGCTCATCCCGACCGTCCATTCCCGCGGTTTGGCATCCTCGGTCTACGACGGCGGCGTTCCCACCTCCGTTATTCTGTCGAGATTGAGAAGAGGCCTGTCGCCGGACTTGCCACGCGTGCCCCTGCACGTCGTTTTCCACGGCACGTGGGAAGCTGCTGACGTGTCTCTTGTGGAAGATTTCATCAACGAGTTGCCAGCGCGAGGTTACGAATCGCTGGCTCAGCTGGGATCCGTGGCCGTCGATAACAACCACTACGGCGTCAACTCAGCTGAAGGTAACAATTGTAACCCTTTTGGTCGCACCAACGTCGCAAATTCCGTTTTCTCATACCTCGATACTAATCTTGAGTTCCCGGTTTCCTGCTTTCCGCTCCCGTTTTCCCGTTTTCCTGCTTTCCGTTTTCTCATACCTCGATTTCTGTTTCTCAGCCGTCCAGCGGCAGATTGACATCGGCGCGCTTCCATTCGACCGCGCCGCACTCTACCTGCTGGTTACCAGCGGCGACGTTGCAGTAACAATCGGCGGCGAAACTTTCTGCGAAGACTACTGCAGCAAGCAGTCGACACTTGAGCTGCGCGGACCCGATGGGTCCGTCGGAGAAACGAAGTTCATCCACGCGGGTGACGTGTTCGCGCGCTGCCCCGACCGCTGCACCTTCCGCGCCGCTCACTCAGCGTAAGCTTTCCGCGGAGTCCTCTCTTCTCGAAATTTCCACCCCCCGCTTCCCCTCCCACCCCTAATTCCGTACCCTACCCCACCCAACCTCCTTCTCCCACCCTGTTCCCCTGCCCGTAGCCCTCTCCTGCCTTTTTTTTTTTTTTCCCTACAGTCATTCCGCCTAATACTTTTCTGACCGTGGCCTTTTTCCTGTTCGCTTCCCCGTTTCTGTCACGCCTGCAGTGAGCCCAACCCACTCCGCCACCTGCTTCGCCACCTAGGCTCGACGATTACCGAGTCTGTTCCCGGACCTGATGCCGGGCCCATCACGGCATCCGAGTTCCCCGACCGCGAGCCACTGCCTCCGGCCACTGTTGCCGAGCCATCTGCTTCTGGTTCGGCAGCAGAGCAAGAGGAGGGGAACGCCACTGCCGCCCCCGCTACAACCGCCAAGATGTGTGCCGCCTACCCAACGGAGACCTTCATCCATGCCATTACGTACGGAAGCAACTCCTCGGGTGTTTTGTCAGGTGCCCTTGCAGGCGACATCGCCACATGCGCAGCTGCTTCTGTGGGGGCCATGGTTGTGCCTCCAACCGTTGCTGGCCGGGCCAAGTAAGGATGAGGGCACGGGAGCACTCTGTAATGTTGTTACAGGTGTTACACATACACCACGACTCCGCTCTGTAAATACTTGCGGAGGCGGCAAATGGGTTGATTCTGAAGAGTAGCATGGTGGATACCGGTAAGTAAGTGAGGCCATAGCCTCACCTAAAAACATGAGTTGTTTAGCTCTAGCTTTTGATTTTTCTCCTTCAATAAGAAAGGTGATATAAGCCCCCAAGTACGTGCATTTTGATATCTAGTGAGATGTCAATGTTATCAGCGTCTGTTTCTGTCTAATGACACAAAAGAAACATAGTTTCAATGATAGGCTTTGGTAAAGCCCAGACATAATTGTACAATGAACATGCTGTATATCAACAATAATGATAATTTTTGAAAGTGTATTCACTTTCTAAAATTTTATATTGTGATAGTGATGCGATTGCCATCGCAACAAAGGCAGCGTCGCGTCGCTACTCGCCCTCTTTTGGCTACAAAAGAGGGGTTGGAGGCCATTTGGCCTCACCCACGTTCTTCTTTTCAGATTTTTAGTTTGAGTTCCTCTCAATCTTGTCCAATCTGGTGAAGACTCAGTCACTTCCACGTTTTACTGCTCCGACAACACTTCTCGCCGACATACTTAAGCACAACATTGCTTCAATGGCGCCCGTCAACAACGTTTCTATTCGCGAAGGAAACAAGACGGCGAACACCCCAGGCGCGCAAAACTCCGGAAGTCTGGCCGGGGCAACCGCGCGTCGTGCGAAACGTCCTGCCGAGGAGGCACGCGAGGACCTCGCCACTGGCGTCGAAGTCCTGTTTGGCGCGACCTCCTCGGCGCCTTCCGAGGAGCTTCTTGCCGCACGCGCTGCTTCCAAGCAGCTGCGCGATATGGCGAAAAAGACAGCCGCTGACGCGGCTGTCATCATCGCTTCGGCCGGCCAGGCCGGCCCTTCTGGCGCACGCGACATGGAGCACGCGCCAGCGGCACCCTCGGCGCCCTCGGCACCCTCAGCCCCTGCTGACGCCAGCCCCCTTGCCTTGACCACTGCGCAGGTTCAGGCACTGCTGGCGATGTTACAGCAGCAAGCACCTGTAACTGCGAGGACTTCTAACAATGACGAAGTTACAGCATCTGCAAAAAATAACAAGAAGGAAGAAAATGCCGTCGCCCCTCGCCCGCCTAAGGCCGCTCGCGTCGGAAGAACCCCGCTCCGGCACCCGCCGAAGAAGACAGCGACGAGTCCGAAGATGTTGCTGGTGAGGCTCCTCGCTGCCGCAATCCAATTTTTTCCAATGCCCCTCGCTCCAACTCTCCCCTCGCTCGCTCCCTCAACCGCAACTACCACTTTCAACCGCAAGGGTGTGCGTGATCAGGCAGAGGTTTTCTCTGCCATCCAAGCCCACCTCAGGCTCATGGAGCTCCAGCTGCAGCAAGGCGATGCGGAAGGAGCGCTCGCCAACGTCACTCAAATTGAAACGCTCATTAACAAGCGCTTCGAGGTGCTCTTGGTGACGGACGAGGCTGGTTTTGAAGCGGCCGACCGCTTCCAACTCTATCAATCGAAGAGTGTGCTCACCTCCCGCTCCTACAAGCTGGCCGTGGCAGACGTGGCTGCATCGAAGTGCGCCCGCATGAGCTATAATTGCACCGTGCGCGGTAACGGCCTCGACAACGGGGAAATTGGCAACAAAGGTGCCGGACAAGGCTCATGCCAAAACAGGGCCTTCAAGGGCACCTGCTTTCGCTGTGGCCAGCCCGGGCACATGGCAAACGCCTGCCCCATGGGGGGGCGCGGCGGACAAGGCCCCACACCCGTGGTGTGAGGAGTAACCAAGGGCGATGCCCCTTTCCCCGCTTGCCGAAAGAGCATAGGGGATTGCACCAGGGGGTGCACGGCTGTGGAGCAGCCTAGGGACTTAAAGAGGTCAGGGGACCCTTAGATTAAGGCCAGGGTGGCTGATGGATGGCTCCGAAATGTATTTCTTGTTGTAAAAAAAAAAAAAAAAAAAAAAAAAAAAAAAAAAAAAGGGGGGGGGGGGGACTTGCAAGTTGTTTTTACTTCCTCATATTAAACCACGGGCTCTTGATTGGAGCTGTACTTTGGAAATTAAGAGCTGGCAAGCCTACTCAAGGAATGTCAAAAGGAAAAGCCACGAACAATGGCAGCAAGTGTTGAATCAAGAAGGTTAAGTGAAGCCTAGGGTTTAGGCTTAGGAAAGTAGCGAGCGAAGATGCAAGCCAAAAGAGGGCTTCACTAATGAGAATAGAAAGTACAAATAGGTAAACAGCAACACAAAGAGGTGCACCACCAAACATGATGCAATATATACACTACAACTGCAAACGATTATATAAAATATGTAAACATATTTTGACAGCAAGAAGGAAAATCAAGAGGCAAAATCACATGCAAGCTCGCTAAAAAAAAAAAAAAAAAAGGGGGGGGGGGGGGATGGGATGGAAGGAGCGAGAAAGCAAGGTGACAAAGGGGTTCCAAAAGGAGGGGCTGCCGAGGGGGCAGATTAAGAGGTGCCAAGGCTCGGCACACCCACGCCAAGAATCACAAGGAAAGGCCAAGGAGGGGGGGAGAGAGAGACAGAGAGAGAGAGAGAGAGAGAGAGAGAGAGAGAGGAGGAGGTTGAACGGTACGGTGGCGCACACATGCCCACGCCTACCCAACCCATCACTAAGTTGGACAAAAGGTAGCCGTCACTGGACGACGAGCTCTGCCCATCACCCCACACCGCAAAGTAAGACACCGGAAAAGGAGAAAGAAAAAGAGACGAAGAGAGAGAAAGAGAGAGAGATAGAGAAGGGAGAGGGGGGGGAGAAGGGCGAGGGGAGTCTCGCACACTACTCGTAGCATATGGTGCGTAGGACCACGATCGCTCCTTACTGATAAGCACACTAATGCCGTCTCCCGCATGTATCGTTTGGTACGCAGCCGAGTGCAACAAATGGGTGATGGGCGCAACCGACCCATACGAGTTCGCGGTGACAGACACAACCATATTCGTGATGCAAGGCCGGCTGCGCCAAGCACTCCACTGGTGGTGCTCATGGTGCGATAGCAGCTTCATCTTATCCATCATCGCACGTGGCTATTGGTTCCCATGGAAGAACGAGGCCCCCACGCCTTTTGAATCGAAAAACCACGCCGGCACACAAGCCCATGGTGATTTCACCCGAACAGCAGACCAGGACCTCCTTTGCACGGGTGCCGCTGCAGAGGCACCCGATTGAGCCGCACTTTCATGTGTCAGCCCGCTCAACGTGGTCGAGCAACGCGAAAAATGTCGCCTCATACTGGATCTTCGGAAGGTCAACGAGCACCTGCGTGGCCCAAGTTCAAATACGAAGGACTGCTTCGCGTGGCAGAGCTGATCAAGCCGAACGATTGGATGTTCTCCGTCGACCTCAAATCGGGGTATCACCATGTGGACATACACCCAACTTGCTGGCGATACCTTGGCTTCCAGTTTGACGGAGCATATTATTACTTCCGCTCCTTACCATTCGGGCTAGCCACAGCCCCGTTCGTCTTTACCCAACTTATCAAACAGCTCGCTCGACGATGGCGTGCACGTGGATGGCGAGTGATCCCATACGTCGACGACATCTTGGTGCTATCCGAGCCAGCCCAACAAGCCCGATCGACATGCACCATGATCGTGCAGGAACTAAAGGACTCCGGTCTAGTGATCAACAAGAAGAAGTCTCAGCTGCTCCCAACCCAAGCACTCCGCTTCCTTGGCCTCGAGTTGGACACTCGAAGCAGCACATTCTCGGTGGGAGACGAACGTCGATCTCAACTAAAATCCACAATGGCGACGCTCATTACCAAGGGGCGTAGAGGCCGCCAAGTACACATCCGCCACGTCGCCCGAGTCACCGGCATGCTCGCATCAATGAGCCTCGCTCTGGGAGCAACTGCACGAGCCTTCAGCCACGAGCTGCTCCAAACCATCAACACCGCACCATCATGGAACTCCCGGATATCGCTGTCATCAGAGGCAATCGACGAACTGGGCTTCTGGATGGAGCAATTCGACAAGTTCAATGGTGCCCCGTTCCATCAACCGCACCAGTACGATGCGGTCATCCAGGTGGATGCCAGCGCGCACAGTTGGGGCGCCACACTCGTCACGTTTCGCGGGGAGAGGAGCACAGTAAGCGCGAGCATGCCCTCACACTTGCCACCCACATCCAGCACTCGGCGGGAGCTGGAAGGTGTTTTGTGGTCACTACGCACCTTCATGCACCAGATCCAGGGTGGCCATACCCTAGTCCGTGTCGACAATCAAGGCGTCATGTTCATCCTACGCAAGGGCGGCTCAAGCACCACTGAGCTCACCCTCGCATGCAAAGAAATCATCTCTCTTTGCACGGAACACTCGGTCCGCTTGGCAATCGAATGGATCCCCCGCGAGTTGAACACCCATGCGGACGAGCTCTCCAAGCTGCAAGACCATGATGACTACACTCTGAAACAACCTTGGTTTCGCCTCCTTGAACGTCGTTGGGGGCCCCACTCCATCGACCTATTCGCAAACGCTCGCAACGCGTTGTTACCTCGCTTCTGATCGAAGGTGCCCCATCCCAAGGCGGAAGCGGTCAACGCATTCTCGACGGATTGGAGTGGAGAGCACGGTTTCGCGTTCCCACCCCCCCCACCTCATCCCAGCAACCCTTCGGCACGCGCAACGCACCCACGCTAAGATCACTCTTGTGATTCCACAATGGACAGGGGCTGCTTGGTGGCCCCTTGTGCAGCCGTCTCCCCAGACATGGGCCAAGGGGATCACCAGTCACCTAGCACTTGCAAGCGGTAGTCAATGCCTTCACCCAGGCACACACACATCTTCGTTCTCAGGCGCTGGATTTCCAAATAGTCCCATCCTCGCATTGGCTATAAATTTCTCGATGTAATTGCATGCTCTTATTGATGGCAGAAATATTAAACAACCTCCAAAAGCAACTCTTCGCGGTCATCAGCCAAGTGAGGGCACCCTCCACCATCCAAACCTACGAACCTTACTGGCTCAAGTTCCGAGCCTTCTGCAAGAAGGTTTCGCTGAGCTACCTGCCTACCACGGAATTGACACTCGCGCTGTACCTCGTGCACGCCCTCAAGCACAAAGCTACGCTATCTGCTATCACACTAACGTGCTCCGCGGTATCCTTCGCACACAAAATGACTGGGACGGCGTGTCCCACCGACGACCCCTTCACATCGCAAGTACGCGAGTTCGCCAAGCGCCACGCACCGCGCCCCAACCGGACCAAAGAGCCAGTCTCGCTCCACCAGGTCCATAGCATGGCTCAGGAGTTTCTCACATCCCACATCCTATCCGAATTTCAGAAAGGTCTCATCCCCCCCTTGATGTACACTGGGTTCCTACGCTACTCCGACTTGGTCGCGATTCAGTGGCAGGACATTCAATTCGAGGATACGGCAATGTGGGTTCTAATCCCACACTCCAAGACTGACCAGGAGAGCAAAGGAGTGTGGGTCCCAGTCGCGGCAACAGATGGGCCATACTGCCCAGTCCAAACCACCCAGAAATTCATCAAGATTGCCGGCTATGACTCATCAACCGAAGGCCCTCTCATCCGAGTTTTCCCATGTGGCGCAAAGGCAACACCACAAGACAAATCTCCCTTATACCCCACTCTTAGGAACTGGTGTTTGGAAGCCTTCCGCAAGTTCGGGCTCGACCCAAAGCACTTGGGCACCCACTCATTTCGCAAAGGGGCAGCAACGACAACTGCCGGAGTCGGGATCACGGATCGAATGTTCAAACGTCTAGGCCGCTGGCGCAGCGACACCGCGAAGGAGCTCTACGTCACAGTCACTCAATACCAGCTCGTCGCAGCATCCCGACTGATCCAGGACCCCACACGAGCCCCATCCTCCAACCAGCATCAGCTGTCTATCCAGCGACAGCGCCGTCCTCCTCTGCACATGTCTCAGCAGACCCAGATGAAATGAAGCACGATGCCTATTACAAAGTTGCAATAAGCAAGCTTTCACGATATGATAATTTTTGAAAGTGTATTCACTTTCTAAAATTTTGTATTGTGATAGTGAAGCGATTGCCAACGCAGCAAAGGCAGCGTCGCATCGCTACTCGCCCTCTTTTGGCTACAAAAGAGGGGTTGGAGGCCATTTGGCCTCACCCACGTTCTTCTTTTCAGATTTTTAGTTTGAGTTCCCCACCCTCCCACCCTATGTAGTGAAATTGCATGTTGTAGACCTTTGGACGAGATTGATGTACTCTACCCAGATGGAATGAAGGACGATGCCTATTACAAAGTTGCAATAAGCAAGCTTTCACAATATCATTATGCACATAACATATGCCAACATCAGAAAAAATCTACACAAGAATTAAGGTACGGTATCAGAAGAAGCATATTCTATGCTGCACAGTGCAGTGCCTCCCTTCACAAGCTAGCACAGTTCGAACATTCCTCTGCCTTCCTCCCAACCATCCTACCCCCCCCCCCCCCCCCCCCTTTTTCCCATCCTTTCTCACCTCCCAACCCACCCTCCATACCCACTCCCCCACACCCATCCATTTACACCCATTTCCCCATACCGTCAATTACTAGGCACAAACAACCAGCGCCAATGAAAGGCTTAATCAATGTTACTAATGAGTTAAGACATCCTTTTAGGCAACCACTAGGCTCCTCCAGGCTTCCCCCAGCATAGGGGTCACACTGCTGAGCGCAGGGGGAGGCCATGGTAAGCACTACCCCTGCCAAGGGGGGAGTAACTGTTACTCTTGAGTTGAGACATCTTGATAGGCACTCACTAGGCTCCTCCAGGCTTCCCCCAGCATAGGGGTCACACTGCTGAGCGCGATGGGCAAGCTAGCACTAGCAAGGCCCCACTTAGGGGCCTCCTTATAAGGTCTCTCTTTGGTGGTATAAACCACCTGAGCCTCTGTCTGATGGAACCAAGCCACCTAAGCCTCGTTATAAGATGTATGGCGCTTCAGGCTATGACAACGCAGTAGGCAGACCCCCAAGGGCCTTGTTATGAGGTGTCTGATGCTTGGAGTGAGAGAGTGGCGTTGCTACTGGTACTGATACTTCTGCTGCTGCTGCTGCTGCTGCTCCTGAGACTGAAACTGCTGCTGTTGCCGCGGTTGCCGCTTCAGGCTACTGTATGTCAACGCAGTAGGCAGACCCCCACATGCCTCGTGATGAGGTGTCTGATGCTTGAACTGAAACAGTGCACTGCTACTGGAACTGATACTGCTGCGGCCGTTGCTGCTCCTGAGACTGGAACCGCTGCTGTTGCCGCTTCTGTTGGTGCTGGTGTTGCTGCTGCGGGTGGCAATTGCTGCTACTGCGGCAGCTGCATTGTTGCTACTGGTACTGATACTGCTGCGGCGGCTGCTGCTGCTCCTGAGCCTGGAACTGCTCCTGTTGCTGCTGTTGTTGTTGCAGTGGCACCTGCTGCTGCTGGTACTGACGCGGCTGCTCCTGCCATTGTTGCTCGCCCTGACTCACACCCACATACTCCTGTTGCCCAATCTTCTCCTCCTGCCCCTGCCCTGGCGCTTGCAAATACTGCTGCTGTGCATTCTGCTGCTGCTGCTGCTGCTGCTGCCACCACGAACCCTCTGCCTCGCCTGCAGACCCCACTCCACCGTTCCCCACCCCTCCGTTCCCCACACCGACCCCTTCACTCCCCACCCCCATCCCCACCCCCATCGCTGAACCCTCAACTCCCATAGCTGTTGCTCCTGACGGAATCCCCACCTGTCCCTCCCCGTTTAACCCTCCACTACCCACTGCATACCCTGCTGCCTGCTCTCCTGCTGCAGCAGCACCTGAGGAATCTCCTGGAAAAACACCTGCAGCAGCACCAATAGCGGCAGTAGCAGCAGCAGGATCAGCAGGAGTCTCAACAGAAGCAGCGGCAGCAGGAGGAGGCAATCCAGTATCAACATTCGGGCTGCCACCAGAATCAATATTTGCAGCAGCAGCAGGAGAGGTACTGGCGTCTGTACCACTCACAGCAGCAGTAACAGGGGCAGGAGCAGCAGCAGGAGCAGTTGCCGCAGCAGCAGCAGCAGTAGCAGCAGCAGCAGCAGTCACAGGGGCAGCAGCTGCAGCAGCCACGATGCCAGCAATAGGTGTGGGGGGTGGGGGAGTGACACTAGAGGCACGAGAGGCGTCCACATCCATTGCATCTGAGAAGTCCAGGCGGCCAAAGCGCCTGGAGAGTTACAATAGGGAAAACAAAAGGAGGAGAGGGAGGAACGTTGACTAGAGTTGACCATTGACTAGCATTGACCAGCATTGACTAGGGTGATGCTGGAGGCGCGAGAGGCGTCCACATCCATTGCATCTGAGAAGTCCAGACGGCTGTGAGTTTTTGCAAGGGAGAGAACGGAGCAGGAGAAGGGAGGACAGAGTGGAAAGGAGTTGATTGCTGTTGACTAGGCTGATTAGAGTTAACAAGGGGAGACTAAGTTGACTGGAGTTGACTAGAGATGACTAGGGTCGTCCTCCCTTCCTCATTCATCTTTCCCCTCACCTGGTGCTGCTGATACAGTGGTTGATTGCGGCCAGGTGCCTTGCATGGATAGCTGCAACACCACGCCACCCCATCCAACCCCATCCAACCCCATCCAACCCCATCCAACCCCACCCCACCCCACCCCACCCAACACCATACCACCCCTCCCAACCCTTCCCCCTACCCATCAGTCCCCCCCTTCTTTTCTCACCTGGTGCTGCTGATGCGCTGGTTGATGGCAGCCATTTGCCTGGATGGACTAGCAAAGAGGGGACCCTAGCAGCTACCTATCTTTCCCGACTATACTCCATCCAACCTCCCTCATCCCCCTCCCTCTTTTCTCACCTGCTGCTGCTGATGTGCTGGTTGATGGTGGCAATGTGCCTGGAGGGGCTAGCTTCAATACCACCCACCCCACCCCACCGCACCCTTCCCTACCCCGCTATACCCCACCCTCACCTGCTGCTACTGATACGCTGGTTGATGGCCGCAATGTGCCTGGATGGACTCGCAAAGGGGTCAGCTGAGAGGCCCCCTCCCAGCAGCTGTGTGGACAGCTGCGCTGACAGCTGGCGGTGAGGGGAGGCCAACAGAGCTTCCATCTGGTGAATGGGGACGGGGGCCAGGGGAAAGGGGAAGGAGGGCAAAGGGGGTCAGCGGAGAGCCCCCCTCCCAGCAGCTGCGTGGACAGCTGCGCTGACAGCTGGCGGTGAAGCGAGGCTAGAAGGGCCTCCATCTGGTGAATGAGGAGTGGCGATGAGGGGAGAAAGGGGGTGGGGGAAGGGGACAGAAACAAAGGGGTCAGCAAAGAGGCCCCCTCCCAGCAGCTGCGTGGATAGGGTTTACATGCCGAGGAGACACGCTGCGGGGGGGAGCACCCGGCACAGGCGAAGGCGACTGCTGGTGCTGGTGAAAGTGAGCTAGAGCAGGGGACGAGTTCACATCACACACAATGCCCGTGCCACAGGCGCTACCTGTGTGCTTTGCTTACCCTAGAGGTGGGCAGTGGGGTGGGACATGTAGACGTTGTGCCAAGATGACACACGGCGGGGAGAGGCACTGGGCACAGAGGAGGGCGACTGCTGGTGCTGCTGAAAGCGCCTCCCTTGACCCGAGCATGGACAGCATAAGGTAGTGGTGACTCACCCTAGAGGTTGGCAGCGGGGAGACGTAGACATTATGCCGTGAGGACACGCGACGGGGGGATGCACCCGGCACAGATGACGGTGATTGCTGGTGCTGCTGAAAGTGCGCCAGAGCCGGTGATGAGTGCACCAGGGGACTCCTGAACATGCTCCCCCCGTGCCCCCCGCCCCTCTCCCCCGCTCCCCCTCCTGCGCCCCCTGCTGTGGAGGCGCCGTGGCCGAGGTGCAGCAGGAACGACTTGGTTGCCGGTACAAAGATCTCGTTGTAGAATCGAATGATGTCTCCGTGCTGAGGGATGGGCTGGTGGGGTGGAGGGAGAAGAGAGAAGGAGGGAAGGAGGAGAGGGAGGGAGGTAGCAGAGGAGGGGCACAAAATGAGTCTGCTGCAGAGCAGAGGAGGCACTGTGAGTGAGGTGCAGCAGGAAGGACTTGGTTGCGACCGGCAGGAGAGGGGGAAAAGGGAATGAAAGGGCTTGGTAGCCGGGACGAAGATCTCGTTGTAGAACCAAATGATGTCTCCGTGCTGAGGGATGGGCTGGTGGGGATGGGGAGTGGGGGGCACGGGGCGCATGGGGCCATGGGAGGCATGGGGGGGCCATGAGGGCAGCAGGAAGGACTTCGCTGCCGGGACAAATATCTCGTTGTAGAATCGAATGACGTCTCCGTGCTGGGGGATGGGCTGGTGGGAAGGGGAATGGGAGTGGGGAGTGCACATGATAGGGGGTTCAGAGTTTTGGGTTTAGGGTTCGTAGAGAGGTGCAGCAGGGAGGACTTGGTTGCCGGCACAAAGATCTCGTTGTATGGGCTGATGGGGAGTGTGCGGAAATGAACAGGACGGATAGAAGTGAATAGAAGGAAGAGGATAAGGCTCATCAAAAGCGAACATGAGAGGAGGGCGGCGAAGAGAAGAGGAATTAAGGCACAGGAGGCACAGCAAGTAGTGACTATGAGTTGGCTTAGCTCTCACCACCCATGGTATGACCCTCTCCCCCTCCCAACCGCCTCAAGACCTCTCTGCACCACTCTGCGCCCATCCCACACACATCCCCTTCACACTCATTGTCACCACTCTTCACCGCTCTGCACACATCCAACGCACCTCCTTGGAGGCAGAGTCAGCGGGGGGTGGCTTGGCGTCGATGAATACGTTTCTGAAGACCGAGGGTTTGCAGTGTGGTAACTTGCGGTACTGCGCGATGATGTCCTTGAATGTAACTGCCACTTGCGACACCTGTGTGAAAGGAGGAGGGACGGAGCGGGTGGGGGGAGGAGAACCGGGGGTAGGGAAGGGGGGGATGCAGGGGAGGAAAGAGCGTCGAAAAGGTAGTGCTTTGCAGTGCGGTAACTAGCGGTTCTGTGTGCCTGCCTGGCAGAGAGAGACAGAGACACCCCCTCCACCCCTCACCCACACACCGTAAGCAGAGGAGAGGATGATTTGGTCGAGGGGGAGAGAGAAGAGCGTGTGAGGGAGAGTGCTACCCGACGAACAAGAAACAGGCAGCTAGGACAAGAGAGTGACAGAGGGACAACGACAGGCACTTTTCACCCATCACACACCCACATACGCACGCACACCCACCTTGCAGACACCATAGACGGAGGAGAGTATGATCTGGTCGAGGTGGTGGCAGAACAAGAGCTGCACCTCGCCCTCCACTGCATGCTCCACCACTCGTATGAGAAAGAGTGCTACCTAGACGCCAGGAAGTGATAGCTGGAACGAGAGATCGACAGAGAAACAAGGAGAGGCACCCTCCCTATTGCACCACCCACCTTGCAGACACCATAGACGGAGGAGAGGATGATCTGATCGAGGTGGCGGCAGAACAGCAGCTGCACCTCGCCCTCCACTGCATGCCACAAACTCTACTCTCTCACTCACTCCTTCCCTCCATAACCCCTTCCCTTTTCCACACCCACCTTGCAGACGCCGTAAACAGACGAGAGGATGATCTGGTCAAGGTGGCGGCAGAAGAGCGAAAGAGGCAGGCAGAACAAGAGAATGGAGATAGGGAGAGAGAGTTACCCACCTTGCAGACGCCATAGACGGAGGAGAGAATGATTTGGTCGAGGTGGCGGCAGAACAGAAGCTGCACCTCGCCCTCCACGGCAGCTATGGGAGAGAGAGAGGCAGGTGGCAAGAGAGTGACAGAGTGACACGGAGAGTCCCACCCACACACCCACCTTGCAGACGCCATAGACAGACGAGAGGATGATCTGGTCGAGGTGGCGGCAGAAGAGCAGCTGCACCTCGCCCTCCACGGCATGCCAAAAACGCTATTCTCTCACTCACTCCGTCACCCACACACCCACCTTGCAGACACCGTAGACAGAGGAGAGAATGATCTGGTCGAGGTGGCGACAGAACAGCAGCTGCACCTCGCCCTCCACTGCATGCTCCACCCCCCTCCTCTTCCCATTCACCCATCCCACAACTACTCCCCCCTCTCCTCCCCCAACCCCCTCTCAAACCCACCTTGCAGACCCCGTAAACAGAAGAGAGAATGATTTGGTCGAGGTGGCGGCAGAACAGCAGCTGCACCTCGCCCTCCACGGCATGCTCCACCACTCGAAACACCATCTCCGATACCGCTGCTGTCAATCGGAGTCTTTCGCACAGACTGCGCACTCGCACAACCGCAAGTTTTAGAACCTGTTGTTGAGGGGGGAGGGGGGGGCGCAGGCAAAGGAATGAGAGGGATGAAGGCAGCTGCACCTCGCCCTCCACGGCATGCTCCACCACTCGAAACACCATCTCCGACACCGCTGCTGTTAAACGGAGTCTTTTGCACAGACTGCGCACTCGCACCACTGCTAGCTTGAGCACCTGTTGTTAAAGAGGGCAGCAGATGGCGTTTAAGAGAGGGATGAGGGGCAGGCAAGGGGCGGCGCTCGCACAGGCTGCGCACTCACACCACCGCTAGCTTGAGCACCTGTGTGGTGGTGGGAGGGAGTACAAACAGTGGGTCTTGAATCTTGGAAAAAATGCTTCCTTTTGGTGACTTGTGAGCGAAGCTGTGGTCAAGAGGCAAGCAATGGTGGGTCTTGATGATGACCCTTGAGTCGAGTCAAAAGGCAAAGCAATGGCAGGTCTCACCATTTGACAAAACTGATTGAACAGCATCTCGGATCGACTCTCCCCTGGTGGCGCTGCTGCTGCTGATGAGCCTACTCTGTACGACAGTCATTGTTTTATTCTAAGCAGCTCTGCAGTGGTGGGTTGTGTCTCACTCACCTTTTGGCAGAACTGGTTGAAAAGCATTTCGGATCGACTCTCCCCCGGTGGCGCTGCTGCTGCCGACGCCCGCTGGAAGGGACTGGTGGGTCGACAACCCGAAAACAGTGGGGGAAGAGGGGGAGGAGAGGGGAGAGGGGAGGAAATGGGGCGTGGAGTTGGGAAGAGTGTGGGAGTGAGAGATTGCGGTGAAGCCAAGGTCTCAAGGATGCTGCTGGTGACGCCCGCTGGAAGGGAATGCAGATGGGCTCAAGGGAAGGGGGGGTTGAGGGAGGGAGGGAGGGGGAGGGGTGGGCTTAGAACTGGGAAGTATTTGAGGGACGAGAGCTGAGCTGAGCTGAGCTGAGCTGAGCTGAGCTGAGCTGGCGAGGTGCCTTGGATTGTATCTGAGTCCAAGCAACTGCCTGGCTGGTGTCTTTTCGATCTGAGCACCGCAACAGAACAACCCTGATTTGAGGTAATGTTATGACGCTTCAGAAGCCACCACGACAGCAAATGCATGCACGTGGTAAAAGTGCCATGCAGGTGAACCTGTTCCCCCCCCTCCCTCGTGTGCTCTGTGAGCATAGCAACAAAGCAGGTACAACCATAATAACTCACGTGGTGAAGGAGGAGTGCAGGTGCGCGAACTCCCACTTGTTCTGTGGCTTCATGGGGGAGGGTTGGGCTGCATGTGCCTGCTGCTCTAGCTAGGTGCGTGGCACACAGCAAGACATATCACAACACCAGCACCACAGCACCACCAGAACTCACGTGGTGAAGGAGGAGTGCAGATGCGCGAATTCCCGCTTGTTCTGCGGCTTCATGGGGGAGAACGCGGGGAAGGACGCCTGGGCTGGCGGGGAGGCTGCTGGGAGGGAGGGATGAGAGAGGTGGATGATGAGGTGGGATAGCATGGTGCGGGATAGGGTGGGATAGCATGGTGCGGGATGGGGTGGGATAGCATGGTGCGGGATGGGGTGGGATAGCATGGTGCGGGATGGGGTGGGATAGCATGGTGCGGGATGGGGTGGGATAGCATGGTGCGGGATGGGGTGGGATAGCATGGTGCGGGATGGGGTGGGATAGCATGGTGCGGGATGGGGTGGGATAGCATGGTGCGGGATGGGGTGGGATAGCATGGTGCGGGATGGGGTGGGATAGCATGGTGCGGGATAGGGTGGGATAGCATGGTGCGGGATGGGGTGGGATAGCATGGTGCGGGATGGGGTGGGATAGCATGGTGCGGGATAGGGTGGGATAGCATGGTGCGGGATGGGGTGGGATAGCATGGTGCGGGATGGGGTGGGATAGCATGGTGCGGGATGGGGTGGGATAGCATGGTGCGGGATGGGGTGGGATAGCATGGTGCGGGATGGGGTGGGATAGCATGGTGCGGGATGGGGTGGGATAGCATGGTGCGGGATGGGGTGGGATAGCATGGTGCGGGATGGGGTGGGATAGCATGGTGCGGGATGGGGTGGGATAGCATGGTGCGGGATGGGGTGGGATAGCATGGTGCGGGATGGGGTGGGATAGCATGGTGCGGGATAGGGTGGGATAGCATGGTGCGGGATGGGGTGGGATAGCATGGTGCGGGATGGGGTGGGATAGCATGGTGCGGGATGGGGTGGGATAGCATGGTGCGGGATGGGGTGGGATAGCATGGTGCGGGATGGGGTGGGATAGCATGGTGCGGGATGGGGTGGGATAGCATGGTGCGGGATGGGGTGGGATAGCATGGTGCGGGATGGGGTGGGATAGCATGGTGCGGGATGGGGTGGGATAGCATGGTGCGGGATAGGGTGGGATAGCATGGTGCGGGATGGGGTGGGATAGCATGGTGCGGGATGGGGTGGGATAGCATGGTGCGGGATGGGGTGGGATAGCATGGTGCGGGATGGGGTGGGATAGCATGGTGCGGGATAGGGTGGGATAGCATGGTGCGGGATGGGGTGGGATAGCATGGTGCGGGATGGGGTGGGATAGCATGGTGCGGGATGGGGTGGGATAGCATGGTGCGGGATGGGGTGGGATAGCATGGTGCGGGATGGGGTGGGATAGCATGGTGCGGGATGGGGTGGGATAGCATGGCGCGGGATGGGGTGGGATAGCATGGTGCGGGATGGGGTGGGATAGCATGGTGCGGGATGGGGTGGGATAGCATGGTGCGGGATAGGGTGGGATAGCATGGTGCGGGATGGGGTGGGATAGCATGGTGCGGGATAGGGTGGGATAGCATGGTGCGGGATGGGGTGGGATAGCATGGTGCGGGATGGGGTGGGATAGCATGGTGCGGGATGGGGTGGGATAGCATGGTGCGGGATGGGGTGGGATAGCATGGTGCGGGATAGGGTGGGATAGCATGGTGCGGGATGGGGTGGGATAGCATGGTGCGGGATGGGGTGGGATAGCATGGTGCGGGATGGGGTGGGATAGCATGGTGCGGGATAGGGTGGGATAGCATGGTGCGGGATGGGGTGGGATAGCATGGTGCGGGATGGGGTGGGATAGCATGGTGCGGGATGGGGTGGGATAGCATGGTGCGGGATAGGGTGGGATAGCATGGTGCGGGATAGGGTGGGATAGCATGGTGCGGGATGGGGTGGGATAGCATGGTGCGGGATGGGGTGGGATAGCATGGTGCGGGATGGGGTGGGATAGCATGGTGCGGGATGGGGTGGGATAGCATGGTGCGGGATAGGGTGGGATAGCATGGTGCGGGATAGGGTGGGATAGCATGGTGCGGGATGGGGTGGGATAGCATGGTGCGGGATGGGGTGGGATAGCATGGTGCGGGATGGGGTGGGATAGCATGGAGCGGGATGGGGTGGGATAGCATGGTGCGGGATGGGGTGGGATAGTATGGTGCGGGATGGGGTGGGATAGCATGGTGCGGGATGGGGTGGGGTAGTGGTGTGGGACAGAACGGCTGAAGTACAGAAACAGTGTGAATGAAGTAATCAGGGAAAAGTCGTGCTTGTTTTCACAAGATATCTCACAATGTCACAATATCTCACCTTCATCACTCCCCTTGCTCTCCGGCGTGCCATCTCCCTTCTCCCCGTCCCCACCACTCCCCTTCCCTCCCGCTCCTCTCCCCACTACCAACCCCAACTCCCCTTCCGGCAGCAGTTGAAGCCTCCTAACCTCCGCCAGCAAATGCCGCCTCGCCGCCACCACAGTCACATACAGACTCGACCCTTTCTCCCAGGCCAGACTCTCTAGTATCCGCTCATCACACGCGTTCAGATGCCGCTTCAGCTCCCCAGGAAGCCCCTCCTCATACCTCACAAACCCCTCCATAACCTTATCCATGTCAAATGCCGACACCCCCGCTGGGGCGAGCACAGCAGGGAACGCGTGGGCCGTCGCCTTGTGGCTGGCTAGCACTAGTTCTGCAGAGCAGGCGAGGAGCGCGCGGTGAAACCGGTCGTTATCGAGGAGTGGAGTGAGGTTCTGTGAGTTGATGCGGAGGGACTCAGACGTGCACATGCGGAGTAGCACCCGGTAGTACAGCTTCACTGTCTCCTGCCTCCTCTGCTCCGCCCAGAGCGCCGCCTCTGCCGCCTCGCTCCCCCCTCCGCCTCCCCCTGCTGCGGATTCCCCGTCGGTCTGCTTCCCAGCGTCACCTACTCCCGCCCCCGCTCCATTCTTCTCTCCTCCTGCCTCTCCCGCCGCTCCCTTCCCTCCTCCTCCCCCGGCCGCCCCTGCAGCAGCGGCAGCTCGTTTCTTTTGAGACACTGCAGAGAAGATCTCATGCGAAACCAGGGTCGTTCTGGTTACCACAGCGCCCGTTACATCCTTGTCGCACGCGTGCAGAAACCACAGCAGGTCCAAAGACGGCTCAGCAGGAGAAGCAGACACCACGGTTCTCAACCAATGAGCAGTCGACATGGCTGCAGAGATAGGGGTCTGGGGAACCCCCATCCCCCCTCCAACCCCCCCTCCCCCTCCCCCGGTTCCCCCTGTTCCCCCTATTCCCCCTGGGCCCAGGCGAGTGAGGAAGGAGCGGGCGGGGGAGCAGAAGGGGGCGATGGTGATAGTGGTGCTGCCCCCCCCGCGCCCCTCCCCCCCTGCGCCTCCCCCTGCGCCCATGGCGCTGGCGAAAGGGGAGGAAGGGGCGTTCATTGCGCCTGTGGGGGCGCTCTTAAGGGGGGACGGGGGAGGCATGGAGCGCTGGACAGGGGGATAGGGGGAAAGGGAGGGGGAGGGGGAGGGGGCAGGGGGGAGGACAGACGGGGCGGAGCCAGGCAGGGCGAGGGGGGAATGGAAGTGGGAAACGAAACAGAAAGTGATTGTTAGGGTATGCAGCTGATTTAACGCTTATACGCTGAAACTCAATGACCTGGCCATTTGGGTGAGCTAAGCTGCCAACGGCAAACGCCACAGCCCACAGTGGGAGGGAAAGTGGCCACCCAACACCATTCCGTACCACTCAATACCACTCAATACCACTCCAGCACCTCCAACACCTCTCAGCACCGCTCACCTGAGGGCGCCAACAGTGAGCTGCGAGACGGCCTCAATGACCTGCCTATCTCCCGACAGCATTTGGTGGCAGACCCCACTCTGAGCCACACAGTACCGTTCAGTACCACTCACCTTGACAGCCCCCATAGAAGTAGCAGCAGTGAGCTGCGAGACAGCTCCAATGACCTGCCCGTCCCCCGACAGAAACATCCCGCTCATTACCCCAATTATGCACCCCTCATACTCCTCAGTACCACTCAGTACCATTCACCTTGGCGGAGGAGGCAGCAGTGAGCTGGGAGACAGCCCCAATGACCTGCCCGTCCCCCGACAGAAACATCCTCTCGTCCAGTGCCCTGTCGCCCGCCTCCACATACGCCTCCTGGTACGCCCCCTCCACCAGATCCACACTGGGCAGCGCCGCCGCGTCCTGCAGCAACCCCTCAAAGAGAAACAGCCTGTCGGGGCAGAGGTCTGCCGCGTCGTGCTGCTCGCAGGTTGCTGGGGCTGCCTGGCGGGCGAGGCAGCGGGTCATGAGCTGCTGGGTGCGCTCGAGGAGGGAGGATACTTCGCCTTCTGCTGCCTTGTAGCTCGCACACAGCGACCCCACCACGTCCACTAGCCGTTCTCGCCCTGCTCGGCGCGCTGGAATGTGTGGGGAGGAGACGGGGAGAGGAGGGTTGTGGGCCACCTAGAGAAAGGACCGGCAGGACTGAGACCTCGCCCTCTGCTGCCTTGTAGCTCGCACACAGCGACCCCACCACGTCCACTAGCCATTCTCGCCCTGCTCGGCGCGCTGGAATGTGCGGAGGGAGAGGCGGGTGGAGGGGCGTGGGGCACACAGTGAAACGACCCCACACGTTCAGAGCCACCCGTATGTGGAAAGGAGGGGAAGTGGAGGGGCGTGGGGCAGTTACAAGCACGCCCCTACTGCTGCGTGCGCGGGGATGGGGTGGAGACGAGAAGAAGTGGGTGCAGGTGAGGCGAGTGCTAGCACACAGCGACCCCACCCCACCAGGTCCAGCGCGCGTGCAGGTGAGGTGAGTTCTTGCCCTGCTCAGCGTGCCGTGGGGGGGGATGAGGTGGGAAGGGAGGGAGGACAGCGAGTGCAAGAAAGAGCTCGTATCCGTCCATGCCTGTTCGTAGTCAGCTTGAAATGTGGCGCTTATGAAATGTGAATTATGTGTGGCATTGGAACGACCAAAGCTTAACTAGGTGCAGCACTTACAGAATCTGACAGGATCTGAGAAGGAGAATCGGCGGAGAGACGGGGGAACGTGGACTATGAGCACCACCTGGCACAAAAAGTCGAATGGAGGTGGGGAGAAGAAGGGGGCAGGGTTTTGAGACGTCTCAAAACTCAATGGGGGAACGTGGACTATCAAAACCACCAGGTGCAAAGCAAATAAGGGTGGGGGAAGAGGGGGAGAGGGGGTGGGGAGGGGATTTGAGACGTATCAAGACTCAATGGCGGGACGCGGACGATCAAAACCACCTGGTGCAAAGCAAATAAGGGTGGGAAGGCGAAGAGCAGTGGGGCGAATGGGGAGCACAAAGGGGATTAAGGGGGTGCACAATGGAGCCCAGAAAAGAAAAGGTTAAAAGGAGCATGCAGAAGGGGAGGCTGGCGGGGGGGGGGGGGAGGGGGGGGGGGGGGGGCTGAAGGTGGGGCGAGATGGAGAAGCAGCGAGCGGTTTACAAACTGGAAGGGGGCGCGGGGAAAGGGAGAGAAGAGGATATGAGACTCTCACAATGTGCCATGTGCCATGTGCCCTGTGCCCCGTGCCTTGTGCCATGCTTTCTGTCTGCATTCGCCACCATGTGCCATGTGCCATGCTGTGTACGTACATTCAACACCAGCACTCACCACCATGTGTCATGTGTCATGTGCCATGTGCCATGTGCCATGCTCACTGCATTCAACTCCATGTGCCATGTGCACTCGCTCACTCACTCACCAGCGTGCAGAGCATCGCGTTTGTCGCAGTGACAAGATCCGGGAACCTTCTGAGAAGGTGCGCCTTGATGGAGAGGAACAGCAACCAGCCAAAGCGCATCTCCCGGGAGAATTGGGAGGCGGCTGCGGCAGTGGGAGGAGCAGGTGCGCCCGACGGGAGGGAGGGCGGGGGAGAGGAGATGAAGAGCTCTGCAAACATCTTCTTGTAGTGGCTGGCGGGTGGGGTGTGGTGGGGGGAAGGGTTTGGGGGGTGGGGGTTGGGGGGCAAGGAAGCAGGGAAAAGGGGGAAAGGAGGTGTGCCGTGATGGAGAGGAATAGCAGCCAGCCGAAGCGCATCTCCCAGGAGAATTGGGAGGCGGCAGCAGCGGCGGCGGCGGTCGGAGGAGGCGCGCACGGAGGGTGGGAGGGCGGGGGAGAGGAGATGAAGAGCTCTGCTAACATCTTCTTGTGTGGCTGGGGGATTGAGGTTGGGGGGAAAGCGGGAGAAGCGGGGACAGTGGGGGAAGGGAGAGGAGATGAAGAGCTCTGCTAACACCTTCTTGTGTGGCTGGGGGATGGTGGGGGGAAGGGGGAGAGGGTGAGGGAAAAAGCGGAAGGGGGAAAGGGGAAAGGAGGAATGGCGAATGAGCAACGGGGGAAGGGGAATCAAAGGGGGGGGTCGCGAGAGCTCTTGCATACTTGTTGTATGCGTTGCAGCGAAACAATGAGCACGATAACATTGAGCTTTAAGATTTCTGAGAGGAACTAAAGCGCACTCACTTGAATAGCACGATTGCATGCACGAAGTTGGCTTGAAGCTCCTTCACCTGGGGGGCGCGGAGCGAGAGGGAGGGGCGAGGAGAGAGAGGGAGGGGCGAGGAGAGAGAGAGGGGGGCGCAGGAAAGTGGCAAACAGGAACCATGATTGCATGCACGAAGTTGGCTTGAAGCTCCTTCACCTGGAGGGCGAGGTGAGGAGCGACAGTGGCGAGGAGAGAGAGGGAGGGGCAAGGGGAGGGGGGAAACGAGAGCTGTGGTTGCGTTGCGAGGTGGACTAGAGAAAGAGGATGAAATCCAGAAACGACTGGGAGAGGATCGGAAGCAGGAGCTTGAAATAGAAATCGGGATGCGAGGCATGAGATACCACAAGCACAAGTCATCTCAGGATGACAGCACAGCACATACCTCGAGCCTCTGCTCCCACAAGTCCCCATACGCCGCCTGCATCACAGGACTGACACGTGGCAGGAAGTTGGCGATCTCCTTGAAGAAATCCACCACTCTGAACATGCCACGTGGGTGTGGTGCAGGTAGCGCGTGTGAGACGGTGGGGGATGGGGCATGGGAAATGCGGAGTGGGAGGTGGGGAGTGAAAGGGAAGGAGTTCAGGAGAAGGAGGAAAAGGAAAGTCAACATCTCAAGCGACACAGTTGACACACCATGCTACGCTATGTCATGGTTGACAACTGCCACGCCGTGCCATGCTGTCATACCATGTCACTACACACCCTCGTGTGCAAGCACTCCGGTCAGCTTGGTGACACGCACCAGCTCCAACAGAGTGAAGCTGCAAGGTTGCTGCGACTGCAGAGTGAAGTATGCCATACCATACCATACCTGATGCGCGAGCAACTCACGTCAGCTTGGTGGTGCGCAGAAACTCCGACAGAGAGAACCAGGGCCACTGCGACTGCAGATTGAACCATACCATACCACCATGCCATGCCAACGTGAAGAGCGAGCAACTCACGTCAGCTTGGTGGTGCGCAGAAGCTCCGACAGAGTGAACCAGGGCCGCTGCGACTGCAGATTGAACCATACCATACCACCATGCCATGCCAACGTGAGCGAGCAACTCACGTCAGCTTGGTGGCATGCAGCAGCTCAGACAATGTGAACCAGGGCCACTGCGACTGCAGAGGGAAGCATGCCAAACCATACCGTACTGCACCATACCATGTCACAACACTGGCAACTCACGTCAGCTTGGTGGAGCGCAGCAGCTCTGACAGGGTGAACCAGGGCCACTGGGACCGCGAGGATCCAGGCGGCGCGATTTGTCCTGCTCTGGCAGCCGCCTCCTCTGCTGCTTTCGCAGGGCCTAGCTTTCGCACCACGAACAGCACGCATGCGCTCCAGGCGCGCTCGCTGTCATCCGGGGACTGAGAGAGAGATGGGGGAGTGGGAAGATGGGGGGTTAGGAAAATGGGGGGTTGGGATCAGGGGATATCTAGGAAATGCCCAGCTTGCACCACGAACGAACAGCACACACGCGCTCCATGCGCGCTCGCTGTAGTCCGGGAATCGGGAGAGACGGGTTGGGGAGTCGGAAAACGATTGGGGCTCAAACGAACAGCTATGGCGATGGGGCAGACGAGATACGATACAGACGGACAAGCTGACGGACAGACGGACGAATGACGGCAGGACGGATGGACGGGATGGGGGGTAGGGATGGACGGACGGACGGACGGACAGGGGAACGGAGGGACGGCCGGACGAGGGGGCGGACGGACGGGGGAACGGACGGACGGACAGAAGAACGGATTGACGAGGGGACGCACCTCGGGTGCGCCGAAGGAAGCGAGGGAGGGCGCGAGGAGCGCGTAACAGGCGGAGAAGACTTTAAAGACGTCTCAAAGGCCTCTTCTCGACTGCTGCTCGCCGAGTCTACCTGGCTGAACGGGCGGAGGACGCACCTCGGGAGCGCCGAAGGAAGCGAGGGAGGGCGCGAGGAGCGCGTAGCAGGCGGAGAAGAGCTCCATGGCTTGCTGCTGCATTGCGCCGTCCATGCGCAGATGGGTCTGCGCGCGCGGGGGGGAATGTGGAGAGCGCAGGGGGAAGCCGGGCACGGGGAAAGCGGAGGGCACAGGGGGGTGAGCACACGGAGAAGGAAGAGGAAACGTGAACGTGAGTTAGGCTGATGGATGGACGGCGGAGGAGAGCTCCGTGGCCTGCTGCTGCATTGCGCAGATGGGTCTGCGCGCACGGGGGCGAGGGGGAGAATGTGGAGGGCGCATGGGGGGATAGATGAGTTGGGTTACCCAAAGGAAGGCGGAGAAGAGCGCCATTGCCTGCTGCTGCATTGCACCGTCCATGCGCAGATGGGTACGGTAACGCGGGGAATGCGGAGGGCGCAGGGGAAGGAAGGTGGGGTTGAAGTAAGGCGAATGAATGGAAGGCGGAAAAGAGCTCCGTGGCCTGCTGCTGCATGGCGCCGTCCATGCGCAGATGGGTCTGCGCGCACGCGGGGGAAGGGGAAGAATGCGGAGAGCGCACGGGGAAATCTATGAGTTGGGCTGATTTATAGAAAGCTCTGCGTTGTGCCGTCCATGCGCAGATGGGTCTGCGCGCACGGTGGGAAAGGCGGCGAACGGGAGATGGGGGAAGCGGAGGGCGCAGGGGGGATGCGAAAATGGATCTGCGCGCATGGGGGGAGCCGGACGAAGTGGATGGGGGGGGAAATGATACCCCTTGCCTCCGTAACTAGCTCCCCAATGTCTCGTCAGAATCACCCGCCATTTCTACAGTTTCGTCGCAATCTGACCTAATGGAGTCGACCCTCACTGTAGTCACACCCCGTCTTTACCCCTAATATAATCACATCCGTAGAGGCTCACCGTGATCAGGTCCCTGAACCGCTCTCTCCACGCATCTGGAAGGCTGACAGCTTGAGAGGCCTTCCCCTCGATATAATCACCACCGGCGCCCTGCGCGTCAGTAGGGCTCTGGGTCGTCATCGCAGCGTCCATTTCGCCGCTTTGCGAGCTTCGCAGGGCGTCGATCGCTCGCTCGCAGCACTGGTTGCCGTCCCGCGTCGCGCGTCGACTGGTTAGCAGTTCGCACTACCGCTCGACTGCAAACTTCGCACCGATTGCTAGGAGAACCAGGCGGACTTCAGATGCGCCAGCACACTAAAACCAGGCGGACTTCAGATGCGAGTCGTAGACACAAGATCTACCAGCATGCAAATAATAGCTGTCGGAAGACTAAAAGCGATTCTGAGCTGGAGAACTGTACGCGCACAGATTCTGAGCGATCGAACCTTCGTGACCGGAGGCTTGGTGAAAATATGCGGCTCGATCGGAAACTGCGACAGGGCAGACACTTGACACTTCGCAGCGATGCAGCTTAGACTAGCTCGAGTAATGATGACGCTGCCGAGCTGAGAACCAGAACTCGCCTCCCCGTTCCCTCCAACAGCTAGCCTCAGAAGCGTCCGTTTCGGCGGGTTGACGTTAGCCAGTCACGAACCGCGAGCGTCTGCCAACATTGCTTTTCGACAGCTCTTGGCTACTGTATCGACAGACGACAACGACCACACGGCCGCCTAGACGTAGGGCGTAGGACGAGTCGTCGATGAAGCCTCCCCCGACTCCTCGCTAACTTAGTGTTTCCTAAGACTTGGCTTGACAGCCGAAGTCTCACGATGACTCTCAGTTCACGTCACGAGCGAGAGTAATGCATGAATCATGAGTGCTAAATATCCCACCAAGGCAATTGAACGAAGGGCAGACGAGACGAGACGGGAAATGTGGTCGCAAACCCGCGGAGGGAAGATGTTTTCAAGGGCTACAGTATTATTTGACATGCGGTGGTGCTGGGGGAGGAAAGAAGTGGCGCGGGGGCAGCGGCCCCCGACTCTTTGGATGATGCTGCGCCATTCCCCCCTGCGCGAGATGCGACGCGAGTCCCCCGAACCAGCCACCAGCGGGGAAATCACAAAATTGGTGGTCCCAAAGCTTTGCGAAAAGATGTGTTTTTCACTGACAGCAGGACACGTGGGTGATCAACATTGGTGTCTGCGACACCTTCAGATCTTGGCTGTGAACGCCAATCAGACACAAGGACGCCAGGGTGCCTGTCGGAAAATGATGCTGTGCGAGTTGACGCACACCCGATAAGTCCATAAGATGGCGCGATACACCTAGAGTGGGAGCATATTGCACGTGCAAATCAAATATAGAAGGTTAAACCTTTTATGAAAATATGAATATCCTTCGCATTATGATGAGATGTACCAACATAGAAAGTTGCTCTAAATGCTGCGATTACATAGCACAGGGAATGTCCATACTAGAGGTGGGAGACGCTTAGTAATAAGATTAATAAGCACACATTCAGGAAGCTACAATTCACGTCTGAACCTTCAAGCAAAAAATGTAGGACAGAGCTTGAACATGAAGGCCCACAGTACATATGTTGTCACGCACTCATATTAGACGGAACTAGTCTAACTCCAAACAACACTGGCCAGTCCTTGTCTTCCTTGCTCTCAACCACTGCATTATGTTGGCCAGTACCCTTCCCAAGCCCATGAACTCTGTCAGAACGGCCACCAGAAGAAGTATCACGCAACATAGCCACTCGGTGGTGTCTCAGTCGATTCGTCACAGACTTGGTGAGCATTGGGCATGAGAAAGTAGCAGCCAGGACAGACTGCGGCGGGGAGGATGCAACCACCCGCTTGACCTCCGCAAGCAACCTTGCTCTCTTGCAATCCGGAGTCACAGCCGCGGTTCCAGAACAAACATTCTCCAAGGACTTGTCCTCAATCGGCGTAGCTTCTCGTGACTGCGGCTGGCTCATACACTCCCTTGCGAGAAAGCTCCGAGCGCCACGGACGCCGTGCAGAGCGGACAATCCTTCCATGGAAGCTGGCCGAGGAAAGCTTTTAGCTGGTGCTGCGACTGCTGCAGTGACTGCTGCAGACACCGCTTGAACGGAATCAGGCCGCTGCTGCGTGAAGGCCTCAGATCCCAGATCCCCTCGGCCACTGCCATGACTGCTGCTGCTGCTGCTGCACCTGCTGCTGGCGCGACCGGCGTGGTTCAAAAGGTTGTCTCTCAGCCTCCGTTGCGGATCGCATGCTCTCGAGGCGCTGTTGCTTGGGGTAGCCACCCCTGAAGGTGCAATAACAGGGACAAGGAGCGGCTGGGACCTCAACATCGCCGATTGGTTGAGCAAAAAGGAACTTATTCCTGATAAAACCGGGTATTGATTTTCCTCGCGGATCTTCTCGTAGTTAGACGCGGAATGAGTCGGAGTTTCGTTGTCCAGGCCGCTACTCCCCGGAGTTTGCGTAAAAAAAGGACTGTTCTTGGCGAGACTGACGGCGTTTAATCTGGATCGGACAGGGTAAGGCTCGAGCCGCGCCCGGAAAAGGTCGTCGAACGTTTCAGTCCAAGTCCGTTTCTTGGTGACGACAGCGGGAGCGGCCGGAGCGCCGGGAGTGGTAGTTGCGGTGGACGAGAAATTGGAGCGGCTTGACAAAGGGGTTGAGTAAGTACTCTGCTGAACATTCGAGCCTACATCTCTGTCTCCAGAAGGCATTTTAGATTCTGGAACCGCCAGCCGCGATGCTAGAATGGCAGATCTCTTGAAGCTGAGCGCTTCTTCCATGCTGGGCTTGAGTAAAAATTGGAAAATCGCTTGCAAGTTTCTGTCAGAATTCAGGGACTATTTCAGATGGCTCACACGCGGAAGACAAATGCGGCGGGATTAGATAAAATGGAAGGAAAGCTTTCGAGGACGATGCTGACTACGGTATCTGGCGTCGCTGAAATGATCTTGATATTGAATGACGAATGGCGAACGGATAAATAATCTATTAATGCGAGTCAATGGATCGCATGCGTCGCACGGCTCATCACAGTGCACAGCTCGACTCGATCCCTCGAGTCTCGATCTCGACTCGGCCGTCGATACACGTGGTAGGTAACAAGTGCAGCGTTTCGTTGCGAAGCCACTCGTACACAGTAAAACGAGCCGTTGATTACAGTCTGTCAGGTGTGGCTCAGCAGCAGAGAGGGTGTAAAAGCCATGGGTCTGTAAACGCATCGCTAAGCTATGGCGAACGGCGTTTTGGACAACGACGACCACGTCAGATTCGTTGCAGATCGAATGCAAATCAACATCAGATGCTCGCGTGCGCTCACCACCAACGCCATAGCGTAGCACATGCCCCATGCGAACTTCTCAACGCAACGGGACAAGTGGAAAGAGACCTGTACCGCATTGAAACGAAACCGTCGGATCTGTGTGGGCCCATAAGCTTCGTACGCTCTAAGGAGATGCTGACGAGGCTCGTCAGGTAGGGCGAGGTGTATGGAGGAGGAAGGTGAGGTACGGACGGAGGAAGGTGAGGCACGGAAGGAGGAGGTTCTGACTTTTCTGCTCCCTGATTAATGGCGGTTGATTCTGCGGCATGTGCCAACAGCTTGCGATATCCGTTGCCTTCTTTTTTTGTCATCACCAACTAGAAAGTGAAGGAGCAATCGTCTGCCAACCAACACAGGATGCCTGGCCATGGGGAAGATTTTACACCCTCTTTCTCAACCTTTTCACCTTGCGCGACTCGTCGCTACAGTACTTGTCTCATGCGATCTGGTGCCAATAAACGTTCCTAGGCAACCTGGGGGGAAAGCCGGACCACGTGACAAACTGGCTCAAGGACGTAAAATCTCCGTAATCGCTTCATAACTTTCCCAAACAGATGAAAACGTTGACAACGCTTTTTGTAAAGTGCATAACCTTACCTAACCGCATTCTTCGCATTGTGCTTGTACAGTAAGTGACAAGACCATTCTGAACGTGGTGACGTTCTACAATCCATGTACGTTCTCCAACCAGGTGCTCTACTAGCGCGAAATAGGGTGTACAAGGCACGAAGTGGCGCACACCTGTCCCACAATAAAGCCCATTTATGGTGCACGCCTGTCCCCATGGAACTTCTTGTTCGGAACTCTCATTCTCACAAGAACAAGCGCCTAGGGTGGAAGAAGGGAAAGTATGTGGTGGCTACTATGGTTTTAGGATTCTTTCATTTTTAATCACACGGTTCACTCAATTACAGCGACTCAATGGGATTTCGTTCACCGACCTCCCACATTATGTTCAAATTTGGTACTGCAGGCAAAAGTTTTTGAAACGTGTCCCTTTCTTAGCAATAGATTTTACTTTTCTAAGCTTGAACTGATAGAGCAGCCCGAAAGAATAAAGCCCCTAAGGAAGCTACCTGGTGTTTAGGGTTGATGCCTCCCCGAGTCGCATCCCTTTCCGATTGGGTTTTTGTTTTTGTCTGCGTCAATAATTGACACGTGTCGAAAGCAGTAATGTTCGAGTAAACCCGGTGTGAAATGGGAACGTTTTTCAATAACCAGGTAGCCAGCACATACTTTCCCGTGAAAGAATGCATTGTGTGGGGAACACTACGACTGGTGCTAATGTCAAAAAAGTGTTAACATTCGCGCAGCATCAGTGTACTCTGCATAGTTTTTGGAGCCAAGAATGCACATCCCTCACAATTGATTTGACACGGCGTCAATTGTTTACGCCCTCGACAACACGCAGACACTAATGAGAACCTGTCAGATGGTGATGGGGACGACATTCTTACAGGTGGCATGCCATGGGCGGGAGCAAGGCCGTGGTTAGTTGGGCAGGTGGACCAGTGCCTTCAACTCCAACCACAGACACGGACCACGGGGAACCAGACCAGAAATGTCCTTGTACCGTACAGCATGATTCGTGGTGAGAAATATCTCGACAGTGCTTGAAAATAACTTGCGCTGTGTCTGGGTTGTTGGTAGGGCCAAACCCCAACACAGTGATTTATACTCTTGATAGCCAGTGTCTTTCTTTACCCGTGTGGTTTGAGCGAAAGGGAGTGCTTAAAATAACTGAAAATACATAACAACCTACCTTGGACCTTAAATTTATTATGTTTTACCTTCAATGCTTCAGTTTCGCATTGATGCACTCGTTTGTACCAGTTGCCAGGCTCGTAATGGTCCAGAGAATCGTCAGAAGGATCAATTAGCTTGTTACAGCTTCCCTTCGGTGAAATTGCCACAGTGGAGACAGTTATCATGAAGGAAACAAGTACCGTACGGTACTTTCCTGACATGTTATTATCCTGGTAACCCTTCAGTTCAATTACCACACATGGTAAGCCGTGCTATATTTGAGGGGACTAGATGCAGTAATAAAAGGAACTAGCAGTAAAAAACTGAGTACACAGGCACAACCAAGCAGCAGACTGAGGCACTACTTCTTGCTGCATTTCCAACATTGCTACACATTTCTAAGCTCATTTTGAGTCGGTGAAGTCAGCATCAATCACATCGTTGGGGTTGCCACCAGCTCCACCACCGGGTGTGGGACCAGCACCGGCACCGGGAGCAGCTCCATCAGCACCGGGGGCTCCTCCTTGCGAGTACACAGCTTGGCCAAGCTGCAAGGTATGGGGAACAAGAGACAAAATAGGAGTACATTCATTGTTAGAACCAGTCAGCCTGCAATAATACACCCCATGAAACTTCACCAGCACCTATCACCCATAACTGCTCACCCTGAATCCCTCTCATTCTTGACATAGCCTTCCCCATTCTGCATCACAAACCCTAATATCATTTTCTTCCCCACCATTCCATCATCACAGCAATACCACAGATTCACCCTTCAGAGTCCTTCAGAGTCCACTCACCACCACCCACACACCCCATTTCTCTCTCTTTACCTTCATGATATCCTGTTTGACATCGTTCAACTTCTCCTTCCAGCAAAAGCAATAGCCTCAGTTCCGCTCACACATTATCCACATCAACCACACACCCCCGTTCACCCATTTTCACCCACTGTCACCCACTCTTACCTTCATGACTTCCTGGTTGAGGTCGTTCATCTTGTCCTTGATCGCCTGGATGTTATCCCCACCTGCCACAGCCTTCAAATCCGCCACCTTCGCCTCAACACCCGCCTTCACCTCCTCAGGAACCTTCTCCGCAAGCTCCTTGAGCTGCTTCTCCGTCTGGTAGATCATCGAGTCAGCCTGGTTCTTCACGTCCACAGCCTCTCTCTTCTCCTTATCCTCTGCTGCATACTTCTCTGCCTCCTCAACCATCTTAGACACCTCATCCTTGGGAAGGGTAGAAGCACCCGTGATGGTAATATCCTGCTTCTTGCCAGTACCCTTGTCCGAAGCTTGCACCGAGAGAATACCGTTGGCGTCAATGTCGAACCGGACCTCGATTTGCGGGATGCCGCGGGGAGCGGGAGGAATGCCGTCCAGCCGGAAGCTTCCAAGCGACTTGTTATCGCGGACAAACTCACGCTCGCCCTGAAGCACATTGATCTCCACACTCGTCTGCCCGTCGGCCGCAGTCGAAAACACCTCGGATTTTGACGTGGGGAGAGTCGTGTTCCTCGGGATAATCTTGGTCATCACTCCGCCAAGAGTCTCCAGGCCGAGAGACAGCGGGGTCACGTCCAGAAGAACAATATCCGACACTTCACCGGCCAGCACTCCGGCTTGCACGGCAGCGCCGAGAGCGACCACCTCATCGGGGTTGACAGAGACGTTGGGGTCCTTCCCTGTGAGCTTCTTCACGAGCTCTTGCACGGCGGGGATGCGAGTGGAGCCGCCGACCAGAATGACCTCCTGCAGGTCGGAGTAGCTCAACTTGGCGTCGCGGAGAGCGTTCTCCACTGGGGTCTTGCACCTGGGAGGGGAGTCAAGGAGGCGCGTGGAGGAAAAAGACGAGAGAAGAGAGGGAAGGTTGAGAAGGGAGCTTACACCTGGGGGAAGAGAGAGTGTGCAGGCGCGGAATAGGGGTTGCACAGAGGCACCGGTTGTGGCTCGTGGAGTTAAGACAGAAGCTTTCGATAGATGATTCAGTGCTAAAAAAACACTCGATCGCTAGCATGTGCTGAGTACACGCTTAGTTCCAATAGAGTCTTACTATATTTCCCATATTTTCGACTGCAGTCACCGTGCATTTCGAGCTCACCTGTCGAGCAGGTCGGAGCAGAGCTCCTCGAACTTGGCGCGAGTGAGGTTCGTGTCGATGTGCTTGGGGCCGTCGGCAGTCGCCGTGATGAACGGCAGGCTGGAGGGAGAGGCGTGTTCAAGCGTGGAAGGGGGAGGAAAGAGAAAGCAGACATGAGCATGAGGCAGTGAGAGAGATTGGTGTCGACGTGCTTGGGCCTCTTACTCATTGCACCCACCCATCAGTCACATGTCTCTACTTCTAGAGGTTTCGGGCCGGAATTCCAAACCCTAACGCGCTCAAACCCTGAAAACCCAGCGTCCCAGGAAATAAAACCCCCAGTAGCGCGCGGGAAGAAGGCATACCTGATGGAGGTCTGCGTGAGCGTGGAGAGCTCCATCTTGGCCTTCTCGGCGGCCTCGGTGAGTCGCTGCAGCGCCTGCTTGTCTTTGGTGAGGTCCACCCCCTCGTCGCGCTTGAAGGCGTCCGCCAACCAGTCGACGATGCGCTTGTCGAAGTCGTCGCCTCCCAGATGCGTGTCGCCGGAGGTCGACAGCACCTCGAACACGCCGTCACCCACCTCCAGGACTGACGAGGAGAGCACGAATAATCGGAAAGAAGCACGATGAGGATTGAAGAAGGCACAAAGGTAAGAAATCAGGGCAACACAGGCTAGATGATGCAAGGCGGAGGAGCAAAAGAGGCACGCGGCTTCGGAAAGGGCTAGATTCATGCGTGAGTCGGAATGCGACTTACCAGAGACGTCGAAGGTACCACCTCCAAGGTCGAACACGAGGATCGTCTCGTTGCTCTTCTTGTCGAACCCGTACGCGAGCGACGCGGCGGTAGGCTCGTTGATGATACGAAGCACGTCGATGCCGGCGATGCGGCCGGCATCCTTCGTCGCCGTCCTCTGGCTGTCGTTGAAGTACGCGGGAACGGTTACCACCGCCTTCGTCACCTTGTCGTTGAGAAACTTCGCCGCGTCGTCGACCAGCTTGCGCAGCACCTGCGCGGAGATTTCCTCAGCGGCAAATTGCTTCCCGATGGCCGGGCACTCGAGCTTCACATTCCCGTTCGAGTCGCGGATCACATGGTATGACACCTGCTTCGACTCGTCCTTAACCTCGTCCATCTTCCGTCCGATAAACCTCTTCACAGAGAAAAAAGTGTTCTCGGGATTCACGACGGCCTGTCGCTTGGCGATCTGTCCGACGAGCCTGTCGCCGTTCTTCGTGTATGCGACGACGGACGGCGTCGTACGCTGGCCCTCGGCGTTCGTGACGATCGTCGGCTTGCCTCCCTCCATGGCTGCGACAGCGGAGTTGGTGGTCCCGAGATCGATTCCCACCACCTTCTCGCAAACCACATAGAGGCGACCATCGGACTTGGAACCAGCAGCCTTGCACCTGGAGAGAGGTCGGGAGGGATGGCAGAGTCAAAACGGGACGAGGCCAAGATTTGGAACCTTGGGAACGAAATCAAGGACCCAAAGCCAGAAACAGTTAAAAAAATCACGAGGTGATTTCGTTTTAGACCGTGAAAGAATCGAATGGGGAAATGCAAAAGATTTCGTCAGCGTATGGTTTGCCAGCTCGTGAATAAACCCCAGCGGAGTGGCAGACGATCTCCATCTGCGAGAATCTTGTTTTCGCACGTTTGCGGCAGCGGGAAGAGCTTACCTGGCAGCCTTCTTGGTAATGGCGGCCTTGAGCGAGGTAGATCCTGAAAAGAAGTTGGCGTTGCGAACGCCAGTGGCCTTATGAGCAGGCCCTGAGACGCGGAGGCCATTCAGGCCCTGCGCGGCCGCATGAACGGACTGTGAAACGGCAGCCATTGTTCTTTGACGAAGAACGAACGTCGGGTGTGGTGTGAAGGAAATCGTCAAAGCAGACTCAGGCAGTCGATTATGAAGCTCTTCGTGAAACAGAGCTCGCTAGTCCGTGCAGGAGATGAACTCTAAATCAGGGAATAGGAACTGAGATAAGGAGAAATGTGGACGGAAATTCCAAGGTCAGAGATTGGAGAAGTATTGAAGGCACGGGCGTTCTGAAGCGGAGGATCAACAGAAGCACCTAGAAGCAGCAGAAATTGACGATCGTAGTTCCACCAGAAGTTCGCCTATTCGCCACAGGTAGATCACACTGGCTGTAACTTGTTTGTAAGCAAGGGCCCGAAATCGTCGAAGTGTTGCGAAAGAGAGTTGCTGAATGTGCTGGTAGTCGTCTGAATGTTGAATGATGTGCCGATGGCCGCTAAGCTGGCTAATATACTGACACCACACGTGGCGTCCAGAAGTGTCTTACTTCCACGTGGACTACAGAATGAGTGCCGCGTCATTAGCGGCGCGGATCAGTTTGCTTCCGTGGTTTCGGGCAATCACCAGAAGGTCATCCTGCTTGTCACCATTGGCGTGAAGTGGAAGGAACCTTTGACGGTGGTGATTGCGTGGGCCCAGAGCCAATTCCAGGTTCATCGTGAAGGACTCCTGTTCGATGAATAGCTTCGCAACAATTCTGGAAATCTCTGGAATACGGGATTCCAAAGGCATACCGTAACAGAAACGAGTCAAGAACATAAAACAGGTTTTGGTACACATGAGAACAGACTAGGCTACACGAGTTTGAAGCAAAACTGTTCACTGATTGTGGATGTGAAATTGCAGACTGAACACTTTGTCTGAAAATCGAACATCTGTATGTATTTGTCTATAGATTCAGATAGCAGGAAAATAACCCAGATCATAACAAGCAGTAGCCACAAGCAGCCCTTCAGTCACAAGCAGCAGCCATGTCACATGCAGCCACGTGCTAGGCCAGGCAGCTGAGGAGTCAAATGGATTGCTGCAAGGCAAAGGCAGGCAGTCACACGAACTGCAGCTGATGAGAAAAGGGATACTCTGAAAAGGCAGGCAGTGACACAGAGAGCAAGTGAATAGTCAGGTGTAAACAAGCAGTCACAAGGAGAGCACCAGAGAACCAAAAAGCCTCCCACTTGACTGACATGCATGAGCAGCAAATGCAAGCACATGCAACCATGTGGCAGATCAGGCAGCTGGGAAAGCAAATGGCAAGATGTGAATGTGGAGTGCTAAACATAGACCATGATCTCACAAAGAGAGTGCTAAAAGACAAGACCAAAGCAACTCACTGTCCTCACCGACACACGAAGTTGATGCATGTCGCAATGGTAAGCAGCAAAAAAGGGACCCAAAGATAAATGGCAGATCAGGCAGCTGGGAAAGCAAGTGGCATGCTGTGCAAACGGAGTTCTAAAGAAAGACTGAACTCACAAGGAGAGTGCGACACGACCAAAGCAACTCACTGATGCATGCCGCAGTGGCAAGTAGAAGGAACAGGAACCAAAGAGAAATGGTTTGACTGACACACGAAGTCGATGCATGTCGCAAGGGCAAGTAGCAGAAAAGGGACCCAAAGACAAATCGCTAAAGACAGGAGCAAGGTAAGGAGTAGAAAGGAAGGCAGCGAAGGGAAGGAGCAGAGGCAATAGGACAAGTAGCAGGGGCGGGAAGGGAAGATGAAGGGGTGAGCGGGAGAGGGAATGGAGGAGAGCTGAGAGATGAGGGGTGCGCGGATTGGGAACGACGGATGGTTAGGAGGAGCAGGAGAGAGTGGGGGAAAAGGGGGGGGGGGGGGGGGGGGTGTGGGGGAGGGTCTGGAGAGAGGAATGGATGGGGAAAGGTGAGGGGATGGCGGGGGGGATCGGGGATGGTTAGGACGTGAGGATTGGGGAGGGGAGTGAGAAAGTTGAGCGGTAAGGGGGGGAGGGTGTGGGAGGGGAGAGGGGGAAGATGAGGGGTGAGTGGGGGGTGGGAGAAGAAGGGGGGAGGCGGAGAGTGGTGGGGAGATGAGGGGTGAGTGCAAAAAAAAGGGAGCAAGGAAGTGCGTAGAGATAAGCAGAGCACGCAGGGGAATGAGGAGAGAGAGGGGAAGTTGGGAGTGGGGAAAGCGGGGGAGATGAGGGACGAGCAGGGAAGATGAGGGGAGAGCGCTGAAGATGAGGGGAAAACGGGGAGAATGAGGGAGAGAGCGGGGAAGATGAGGGGAGAGAGGGGGAGACGAGGGAAGGGCGGGGAGATGAGGGGAGAGCGGGGGAGACGAGCGGAGAGCTTGGACGTTTCGAGGCAAGGTCAGGGAAACAGGGGGGACGGAGGGCGACGAAAGCGCGGGGAGGGAAAAAGGGGTAAATCAGGAAAAATAGGCCACAACGCTTGTCACCTCTCGCCAGTCCTCTCCTTTTTCGATTCTCCCTCCCACTTACCCCTCCCCTCCCCTCCCCTCCCTTACCGTTCCCCTCCCCTCCCCTCCCGACATCCCCTTCTCCACTGTTTTGCGCAACGGTCAGGCGAATGTGCCCTGGGTTAGTACCAGGCGTTTGCATGATAGGTCTCCATGTATAGACGCTACGAACCTTCGACTAAAAAAGAGTCTCCATAGAGAAGTTAAGAACGTGATCGCAAATCGACGCTTAACATTCGAAACGCGAACGAACGTTACTAATCAATTTGCAGACATACGAGCTGAAAAATCGTCATCTTACCACTACTGGCGGAAATTAGGAGAGAGCAACCAGAAGTAGACACTAGAGTAGTTACCGCATTCGATGTGTGAGGTGGCGAACGATGAAGCAAGAGTGAAGCGCGATCGAAACTAGCTATGGTGCTGAGATATAACTTCAAGTTACGTGAACTGGTGACTCCACGTAACAATGACCGCTTTCGCCTCTAATCAAACGAGAATCAGGAAGCGACGGTCACTAAGATGGCCGGAGTACTAATCTTCACTGCATTGATCTAACGGGACTACCTGGCGTGGAAGTAGAATAAGGTGTGGCAGGTGTGGAGAGTTTTGCTCAATCCCGCGGAATCGCGCTTCGTTTTATTATCGCCACGTGGCATGCCTCTGCATCGCGCAAGGATGACACACTATAGGACGGTAAATCGTTTGGAACTCACATCTCGAACGGGTTGATCACAGTCGGCGAGCCTGTCCACCTCTTCATCAGAAGGCTTCGCCCACTCCCACTTCCTACCATCGCGCCCAAGCTCGGCCACGACCGCCGCCCGGAAAAACCTGAAGCAACATGGCACAGATTGTCGGTAAGAATGGTTTACGCTGCTCGGCGAAATTTAATGCGTCGTCGACTACACTATCGAGCTCACTTCAGCACGCGGATCGCCTCGTCGCGGTGCCACTGCTTCACGGTCTGCGGGTCAACGTGCCGGATCGAGGTCCTGATCTTCTCCCCCCCGGCCTTCAACAAGTCGACGATGCTACAATGTGCTTCTGGAAGCGGTGCGATACTGCATTGGCAAGGCACGACGACGTCGTTCATAACAGAGCACCGACATAGGATGCAACACACATCATGACGACTTCGAACCAGCTCACCTCGAAGTCAGGGGGATAACCGCTATGTCGGCGCCGAAAACCGTCGCAAAGCATGTGTGGTCCGCCCGACCCATCGCCGCCCGAAGCCGGCCGATTCCTATTGACCACAATTGCATGTTGGCCGGCGCCGCGCGAGTCCATGCATGCCTGCATGCATGCATGGGTATTAGAAGTGAGTGAGGATGTGCACGACACGACGGTGGATACGTTGGTTTAGGAACCACCAACTGACGAGGATGGCAATAGTACGACGGTGCACCACCCTCGCGACGTTGTAATCAATGGAGCCGACTGATGCGGGCCTAAACCCTGTGCCGACACCGAACTACGGTAGATAACCCTGAATCCTAAAGTCGGCGTCGACGTGAACTCGTAGCGCCGCCCTAGACGTGGGACAACCCTAACACCGACGCTGCGTCGACCAGCAAGGTATACAGAGGTCGACGTCGACATCCCCATGCGGAGACTCACTTGAGGCCGAATCCCAAGCAACGGGCGTTGAACTCTAGCCTATGGTCTACGAGGACGGTGTTGGGCTGAGAACAGCCCTTAGGAACTTTCAGGACAAAGATAAGGTATTTGACGTAGAGTTGTAACAGCGGAAGCGTTTCTTGAAGAGTTGATGTGAACCACCTTGTACTAGTGTGTGAGAACAAGATAAGTTGATAATAGCAAAGGGATACAGGCCTTTTATACGATTACAAGGAATATAAAGAGTTCTATTTTAACTGTTTTGCTGTTGCGGTTCGATACAGTGCCGACTCGGGTAACTGCTCTGTAACGAGTCAGTTATGTGTCCTTGCTGTCGCACTGTACATTTCGTCAGGTCAAAGGTCGGAGACCTTTGACCTTCGCGTAACCTCCGACAGTTGACTCGCGTGCTTCTTCGCTGTAGTCAGTTCCGTTTTGTGTCGCAGCTTCGATACGACAGAGGCGCTATAAATCACTTGTTTCCAACACTCCCCTTCGCTTCTGGAGGATCGTTGCTGATGACGTGTTCTTGTCCAGTCAGCAGCATGCAGTACTCGAACTTCTGTTTTCCGAGTTTCTTGGTCAAGTAGTCGGCTGCCATCTCGGATGTGGGACAGTAAGATAGTTCGAGTCTCCCCTTTTCGATCTCGTCTTTCACGAAGAAGTACCGAAGAGCGATGTGCTTCGTTCGATTCGCGAACCCGTTTTTGTTCGCTATGCGAATGGCCGACTGGTTGTCGCAGAAGAGAGAGAAATTGGGTAACTGGGCCAATTTTGCTTCCTCCGGTAGTTCGCGAAGATATAGCCCTTCCTTGGTTGCTGAGCAGAGTGCGGTATATTCTGCTTCTGCTGACGAGAGAGCAATTAGCTCTTGCTTGTTCGACTGCCAAGAGATAGGCCCGATAGGTTCGAGTCTGTAGACATAGCCGGTTCGAGACCGTCTGTTGTCTGAATCTCCAGCGTGATCGGCGTCGACGTAGCCGATTAGTTTAGGAGCCGCAGTGTTGGTTATGTGGTAGGTGAGTCCGATTGTCGGAGTACTGACGAGGTAGTGGAGTGCTCGGTCGAGTTCGAGCATGTGATCTGCTTCAGGCTTCTTGAGATAGGTAGCGAGTTGGCTAGCTGAGTAGGATAGGTCTGGTCGGCAGGTGACGGCTGCGAAGAGTAGGCAGCCTAGCTTCCTTTGGTAGTCGCGGACGCCAGCAGTTTTGAGTAGGGCGGAGGTCTTTCGATTTTCGTCGGTGTAGCGGTATGGCGTGGAGATGGTGGTTGGGGTGAGTCTGAAGCGTTTAGCAATAGTGTCTGAGTATTTTGCAGCGCTGAGGTAGATGGCGTTGTCGCCGTCTTCGATGTTCAGTCCTAGGTACTGTGTCACGGTAGCTGCGACGGTGAGGGTTAGATCTCCCTGCAGCTCCCCTTCGAACCACGTTGTTACCGTGTCGGTAGAACCTATGTAGAGAAGATTGTCGACGTAGACGATGAGTAGGATGTAGTCGGTGCCTTTCGCCAGTCGATACATCCCTTGGTCGTGTGGTAGCTAGAGAAATCCGATGCGAATGAGGCGGGCGTGAAGGTGCTGCTGCCATAATCTCGGGGCTTGCTTAATCCCGTATAGTGACTTCTCCAGTTGACAAATTTGGTTGGGGCCTGCGTTGGATCCGTGTGGGAGTTCGACGAAAATCTCAGCGTCGACGGGGGCGTAGAGGAAGGCGTTGGCGACATCAATTTGTCGAAGCTTCTTTCGGTTCATGGCGGCGATAGCGAGGAGGATCCGTAGTGAGGTATGTCGGCTTACTGGGGCGAATGTCTCAGTGAAATCTTGCCCTTGCTCTTGGTCGAAGCCCCGCACGACCCAGCGTGCTTTGAACTTGTCGATTGTTCCGTCAGCTTTTGTTTTCACGCGAAAAACCCACTTTCCCGTGAGGACAGTTTTGTTCCGTGCCACTTCGATAGGCACGACTTTCCAGGTGTTGCGTTCCTGCAGCGCCTTCAGCTCTTTATCCATGGCTTCACGCCATTTTTTCCTGTGTTCCCCCCCTAGAGCCAGCTGAATTGTCGCAGGCTCCTTAGGTGGTTCCGCTCCGTGGACGGCGGTGACAAGTCCCAGTATCTGCAGGCCACTCTGTGTGTAGCGGGGGAGATTTGTGTCCTCTGGATAAGCTGCTTCGTCTCCTGCTTCGGGGTCTGGTAAGAAATTTGGTCCTATGCGTTCGGAGATGTTGGTGTCGACCGGTTGAGGTGTAACGTAACCGGTGTCGGTGAGGTCGAAATAAGTTTCGGCGTTGACACTTTCGCGAGGATTTTCGTCATCCATCGGGATAGGCACGGAGCAGTATGGGAGTGGTCCTGCTTCTTCGGATACGTTATCCACGTTTTGCTCATCCCAGTCAGCTTCGTCTGTTGCTGAGGCAAAGGCTCGGTTGCCACAAAATCCGCCCGTGAGGTCTCGATTTGCTGCCAGGTTGTCCAGGTACGTTTGAAGTGTAAGTCGCTCGTAGAAGATGACATCACGTGCTGCCACTGTTTCCTTCGAGTGGACGTAAAAAATCTTCCATGCGTTGTAATGCTTTTCGATGCCCAGGTGTAGTCCCCACTGTGCGCGTTGAGAAAATCTTCCGGCTCTTGCAGTGTGTGGGCGATACTGTACCATGCACCCGAAGACTCGTAACATTTTTGTGTTGCCCAACTTTCCTGTCCACAGCAGGTGCGGTGATGCGTTGTTCGGAAGTGACGACGACGAAAGCAAGTTGTGCAGCATGACAGCGTGGTCCATCGCCTCAGGCCACTGGTGATTGGGCAGTCGCATGCCACGCAGCAATTTGCGCATGGTGTTCTGGAGAGTTCGATTCATCCGTTCTGCCACACCTTGCTGTTGATGGGCGTAGGGAAGCGAAATGAGTCTCTTGATGCCTCGTGTTGCGAGGTACTGCCTGAACCTCTGGGACTGATATTCCCCTCCTCCGTCAAACTGGAAGCTTTTCAGCTTTGCGCCTGATTCTCGTTCTGCGAGAGGTAGCCAGGCGATGAAGGCTTCGAAGGCCATGTCGCGACTTGGAAGATTAAGGTGCCAGACGTAACGAGTGGCGGCGTCGATGAAAGTGATTGCGTAATTATACGCGCCTTGTCCTTGTTCGCGAGTATACAGAATGTCGCTGTATACTTTCTCGAGTGGTGTATAAGCTGGCGCACTTGGATTGTGGTGAGAGGCGAACGGTTGATGCGGTAAGTCGGCTTCGGGACAGGTGAAGCAAGTTCCGCGGACTCGTTGGAGTTCTCTGCCGTCGGGTAAAAGGAGGGAGTCCTTGTTGAGCACTGCTGCCTTGATTGTGTTGTTTAACGTGGTGTTGCTTGGATGTCCTAGTCGTTCGTGCCACAGGGACTCACTTGCACGATGTCCGGGTGAGCGCCTATACAAGTCGGAGTTGGAGTAAAAGGCGGCGGTGAAGTTGGCGCTTCTGTGAACTTCGCGAGGAGTGGGAGTTAGCTGCTGCGCAGGAGTCGGTGGAGTGTTGTCGATGTGTGGCGATGTCGTCGAAGAGCTCGCGATTGGTGTTGTAAGTGTTGTTGGTGTTGCCGATGTTGTCTCTGTTGCTGTTGATGTTGTTTCTGCTGCTGTCGATGTTGTCACTTCTTGTCGGATTGTTGCTAATGCTCGTGTTCTTTCTGCTTCATGTATGGTATGTGAATACCAGAACCCTCCGGGGCTGAAGTCAGGGTCGAGGTCCGGTGGGTGCGTCCAAGGGGCGAAGTTGACGATGGCGTCGCTATCGGCCGTTCCTTTATCTGGTACGAAGTCGAGGACGAAGACGTTGTTCTTCAATACTGCTCTGCCGATGTAGAGTCCTCCTCGACCGTGGAAGAGCTTGAACTCCTGTGTGGTGCTGTCTGCTTCAAGATGGATCCCCTTCGCCATCAGTTGGCTGACGCTCAGTAAGTTGTAGCCAAGTCCTTCTGCAATTAACACTTTAGACATTTGTAAGATGACGTTAGTCTCCCTTGATTGAAGTTGTACTACGCCTTGTCGTCGTGTGTGCAGGTTTTGATTGTTGGCCACGGTGATGACGACTTCGCGTTGAAGTTGATGTTCTTGTTGAACGAAGCGACTTGAAGAACACATGTGTTGTCCGCAGCAACTGTCCAAGAACCAGGTGTCTTGCCCAGACGGTTCGCTTT